GGGGGCTGGGACGCATTCACACTACAGCCTCACGTGTGCGCCACTCTCTGGGTGTGTTCGACTTGACGCGGACCGACTGTGCAGACCGATCGGTGTATTACAGTACCATGAGAGCTAAAGAGAGCAGACTGCTCCGTGCGCTTTCGAATCGCTCTCGCGGATGATCGATCTGCGCCGCACCTCTTCTAGTCGAACACACCGGCTAGTGCTGCAGGCTTATTGGCTCACTGACGCTGATGAGATTAACCCCTTAGGCATCGAAATTTGGTACCGAACGACGAGACGTTTTTCGATACTCGATGGTATCGAAGCATTTCGGTCGGTGCCTAAAAAGTATCGAACTCGATACCCAGCCCTACTGATAATAATTAGGACTATAAATTATTTGGATAATTAGTCCAAAAAAAAAAACACACTTATATCTGATTCTGTTACATAGAAGTGAATAAAAATAATATATTGATATTTAATATTAAGGTAACACTTTACAATAAGGTTCCATTAGTTAATGTATTAACTATCATGAACAAACAATAAACAAGACATTTAATACAGTATTTATTCATCTTTCTTAATGTTCGTTAATGATAATACAGTTGTTCACTGTTAGTTCATGTTAATTCAGAGTGCATTAACTGTTAACATGCACAACTGATGATTTTAATAATGCATTAGTAAAAGTTGAAATTAACATCAACTAAGATTAATTAATGCTGAAGAACTATTGTTCATTCTTAGTTCATTATCTAAAGTAGTTAACTAATTAAGCTTATAGTAAAGTGTTACCGATATTAATATAAATTCTGTCCAGTTTTATTGTGTTACTTTCAGTAAAAGTGTGGTTATTTTATTGGCTTGTGGTTTTTAAATTCAGTATCGTTAAAATTATTGAGTTAAATGAAAAAGTCTCACAAAATTACTTTATATTATTTAATAAAATACGAAAGCATTTTCGGTTTTCGGCCAAGTGCATCCAGAATTTTCGGTTTCGGTGCATCCCTAGTTATTTCTGACCAGGAACTGCGTACTGTGGAAGGATACGTCACAGCTGTGTGAAGCGCACTCAGCCTCTCAAGGTGGTGTAAGACGAACAGTAGGCCGAAGGAAAACACTCCCACCATGTGAGCACTTAGAGACAGCAGGAACAAGAAGAAATATCGGTAATTCCTCCGGCCAATGCAGTTGTTCACCCATGGACAGTGGTGGTCAAACTCCTACAATGAGAAGAAAAGTGTGTGTGTGTGTGTGTGTGTGTGAGCACCGGCATTGTGATCATTTTATATTACGCAGGAATGCTGCTCTGTGTTTTATGCGCCTCACCTCCACACAGTTGTCACACACACTGCAGTGTGAGCAGCGCGGAGGTCTGTAGAAGTGGCACGTGGCACACCACTTCATCCGCACCTGAATTCCCTTTATCTCCACGTTTTTATAAAGCGGAGCTCGGAAGTCATCGTCTTTGTCTTCGTCCTCATCCGCTGGGAAACAGACATTTCAACACGCACATCAGCGTTGTGTGTGACATGCAGTTTTCTGCACATTCTAATCATGGACCTACTGTACTATCTCCAGACATCTGAAACAGAGAAACCTACACTACAACTGGATCATACCTCTGGGAAAGACTCCAGGATCCATGAAGGTGGCCATGCTGAAGTTGGCCAACACAAAGAGGAAGACGATGCCATTGTATAGAGGCACAACAGGTGAGATGGCCTTGGTTAACCACGGACACCTGAGAGCATGCAAGAGAAACACAAGAAAGATTATTATTTTGAATGCTACAGCTCAAAAGAATATCTCAGAATGGTCATTTTTCAGCCTGTGAAATTTTTTTCAGAACAACATTTGTGTTCATCACTGGAATATTTTTTTTGCATGAACAGAGAGATTCATGCAAACCTCAGAAAACTTGTGAACTTTATAAATTAAAATCAAATGTGTGCAGTTACTATAGTGACACACTGAATAATCTGCAAACATTAGGATATATTTGACTGATAACTATGCCTGCTTGGCCGATTAACAGAAATATTAATTTCCCCTTGGGTCAAATATATAAATAAATAAATAAAATGTACATTGTCATTTATTTTTTCTATTATTATTATTACTATTATTGTTGTTGTTGTTGTCATTTCTGCAACACATTTTATTATTTTAATTATAATAATAATAATAATAATAATAATAATCAATAATGATATTTACTATTTTCAATTATTATTATTTTAAACATTTATTATGTACAGATCCTGCATTAATTAAATTTGATCATATCATAAAAATACAGATATTGCTATTGGCAATTACACAAACCTATACTGATCGACCACTACTTCACACTGATTTGTTGAACTCAAAAGAGGTGCGTGGCAATGTTTAATGGGTAAACTGCTTACGCAGGTAAGCAACTACTGGTGACCCATCCTCGACTAGCTGTCCTACCGTAGCTCTAACTGGGCTCTGCTCAGGTTTTATTTAAGATGGGTTAACAGGCAGAGCCAAGCATATATATTTGTGCACTTCTAAATTTGGCGAGTCTATTACATTTCTTGTAGTCTTGCAGAACAGGGCTTTTTCTGGCCAAGAACCGCCCACCCAGACAGGAGGACACCATCTGAACGACATGCAAAGTGACCAAGCACATTTATTTTGGTTTCTGCATGTCATTTAGAGGTAGATAAATCTATAATGCATTCATAGTATGACCACTATGTAACCATCTAAACCATTACATAATGAAGCAACAAGGCACTCAAGGCCATGCTTTACAGTGATTTTACCAGATGTATTTAATAAAGACATCACTGTTCAACAAATAAGTGCATTTAATTATAGTAACAATTTCAATAATCGAAATATTGTTTAAAGTAATACAGTCCATTAGCCTAACTGCAGACATTTAGTTGCCAAGCAACTGTTATATTGGCTTTTCCAAAGCAGCTTTGAACACACCTCATCCAATCAGATTTTAAAGCTAGAATGATCCACAACTCTCTAACCCCTCCTGCTATGTCTATTCTCTCTCGGCAGGCAGCAGATCACGCTACTATTCTCTCGAACCCTGAGGGAAAAGCACTAACTTGTACTCCGTCTGCACTGGAGGAACGCCAGACTCTTCGGATAGGTGAAGTCTGTCACCTTTATCTCTCTGATGTGATTCAATACACTCATTCCATTCAGTTTTCTATTCAGTTTGTTGTTTTCTTCATTTTAATCAGAGATGGCAGACCAGAGAATACAAAGCAGTAATGAAGTGGAAGGTGAGAATGATAAAGAGGCCAGATTCACCCCCCTCAGACACAACAGAGCAAAACTGATAGCATAACTACTCCTTCATGTGTAATCCAATCACAAACAGACGACCGCAGAATCAATCCATGCTGTGGGCGAAGAAATAAATTGGCCGCATGAACATCTCCTTGAGGGTAAACAAGAACGTCATCACTGCCATAATAACGTCAAGTACTGCCATTAGTGCCTCCATTTACAGCTGAAACTCACATGAGCAGATAAAATGTATAACATGAATGAAACGCAAGTTGCTTTGGATAAAAGCGTATGCCAAATGTGTAAATGTCAATGTACTGTAAACCCTTCTAGGAAACACTTCAGATTTAGTAAAGCATTTATATGTACTTGCTTTGTGGAAAGGGGAATTATCTTATTAAAGCTCTCTACAAAGTGTTGCAGACGATGTTGGAAGCACATAATCCTCATATATTGCCAAGAAAAGTGTAGGCTTTTTGGCTCATTGAGTCTCTCAATGGACATGAACCTAGACAACAAGTCAACAAATTCATCAATTTGCAAGTCTGTTTCGTCTTCTGTGTTCATAATTGTGGGGAGTCTAAACGTTAAAGTATGCATGACTAAAAGTACTTTAATTACCTTCATGAAACAATCTATGCTTAACTTCTTCAGGCAGGGCTGTGATGGAGATCTACTGTTCTCCATTTAACTAGCTGCCCCTTAAAACCAGCAAACCCTGTGTAAGAAGGCTGTATCCTAAATCACGCATCTCTCTAGCATACTCGAGCCCCTTATTTTAGTGTAAATTACACTGGCATTTTAACAACCCAAGGGCTGAGCTGGAGGGGTGTATATAAGGTTTCATTTAGGCCATTCCCTGCAATGTGTCTAACGCCTCGCTGCTACAAATATTAGCATATCTGTGCCAGAGGCAGTCGCTCTAAGGAGCCATCTATCCGTGAGGATTATAATATGCCGACGAGATCAACACAGATAAAAGAAACAACCCTGTCAACAACAGCTTTAGGGAGCACAAAGCTTTTAAACCAGTGCTAGTTAATTCATAACACTCTGATAGTGAGATAAACAGAAAATACATTCAAACATGCTAGAAAACATGCAGAAAAAAGATAGAGAGAGAGAGACAGACATCACAACCCCAACAAATCTAGTCATTTAATAGATGGAGCAATAATTAAAATATAAATAATTATAAATTATAAAATCTAACAGAGAAGCTATTTATTGGTGGCGCCTGATATGACACTTACAGCTGTAAAATAAATTAACAAAATAAAAAATTAAAATAATTTTGAAATTATTAAATAAATAAATCTTGCAGAGAAACTATTTATTAGTGGTGCTGCAGAAGACAATTATCACAATTACTATGTTCATTTAATAAAAAAAAATAATAATAAAAAAATAAATAAAATAAAATAAAATAAAACAAAACAAAACAATCGACAGACCAAAAGTGTGTGGTGCAGATCATCTTTATGTCGCAATCTACTTTTTTTTTTGTTTTTTTGTTAATTTAAAAAAAAAAAAAAATAAAAAAAAAAAAACAAAAATAAATAAAATAAAATAAAATAAAACAAAACAAAACAAAACAAAACAGGGACAACAAATGATTTTTAACAATTCAATAATTATTGAATTTAAATAAATACATCTATAGAGAAGCTATTTATTAGTGGTGCTTGAGAAGACAATAATCACAATTGCTATGTTTATTCAATGGTGGTAAAATAAAACAAAATAAAAAGAGGAGGAAAGAGAGATATACACCAGAGTAGATCGTTGTAGATGAAAACCATTGATGGTTTTAAAGTCATTATAAAGTTCAATATTTAGGATTACGGGTTTGTTCTGTAATCTTAAGTATGATCAATAATAATTGTTATGGATGTCTTAACAACCAACACTAATAAACATATTTTCTGCTGGGACTTGACAACAAGTCATCAAACTGTATTTTTTATTTTATTTATTTTTTCAGTAAGGTATGTGTCGTCATTGATATGCAGCATACACATCTCCACGATGCACATCTCTCTGGGACGATAGATGTATTTCAATAATGTAGATCCCATCTGACTAGACAAATAACATATCTAAGTGCCAGAATAGAGGCAAAAGCTTTTGAAGTTCCACCTATCGTATCCGCCAGAGTGTTTCTGTGCTAAAAATGCAACATCAACGCTTGGTATATGTTTGTTGTGCTCACATTTACTGCATGGATGCCATCTTACGCCTGCAGAGATAAGGTAGTTGAATTCACACACCTCTATTTTCGTTTTTTCCCCCTTTCACTTCGCTGCTTAAGTTATTTCAAAGCACTATGGGCCAATTAGCGAAGCATAGGAGTCCTGTAGCTACAATAAACAATGCTTCATTAATCAAGGTGTGTGGAATTTACATGATTTATAATGGAGCAGAGCAGTCCAGAAAAAAGGAAGATGGTGATGGGCTTGAACACAGGAGATCATTAATCAGTCAGACAGAAGCTTACTGGGGGAATGTTGAGGCGCTAACGTTGTGTGGTGAACAGATCCGCCCTGGAGCTTCTGACAACAGAGAAATGAAACGCGTTATTCATTAGAAGGACTTCCTGTACAACCGCCCTAAAAGAAAAATGTTTGCCCTAGATTTTCCTCATTAGAATCTTATGAAAGTAAATGACCACTCCTGACAGCAAGGTAGTGTGTGTGCATTTGCGTGTGTGAGTACACACACTGGGTCCAAAACGAACACTTGCTGAGCTTCAAATGGAAGTAAAATTGTGATATTAATGGTGTTTTTTTTTTTTTTTTAGGATTTGCAACTTAAACGGTTTAAAGGAACAATTCACCCAGAAATTAAGATTTGCTGAAATTGAATTCACCCCCAGGCCATCCAAGATGTAGATGAATCGATGAACCGTTTATAGGAACAGATCTGGAGAAATGTAGCATTACATCACTTGCTCACCAACGGATCCTCTGCAGTGAATGGGTGCCGTCAGAATGAGAGTCCAAACAGCTGATAAATACGTCACAATAATCCAAAAGTATTCAACACATTTCCAAAAGCTGCATGTTTTTAATAAACAATTCCATCATCAACATGTTTTTAACTTCAAACCATTGTTTCTGGTTAAAATATTGAGTCCTCTATCCATAATATTGCTTTCTCCGGTGAAAAAGTCATCTCGTCTGAATCAGGAGCAAAATATGCACAGATCAAGTTTACAAGCAGTCATTAGAAGGACTTCCTGTACAACCGCCCTAAAAGAAAAATGTTTGCCCTAGATTTTCCTCATTAGAATCTTATGAAAGTAAATGACCACTCCTGACAGCAAGGTAGTGTGTGTGCATTTGCGTGTGTGAGTACACACACTGGGTCCAAAACGAACACTTGCTGAGCTTCAAATGGAAGTAAAATTGTGATATTAATGGTGGGTTTTTTTTTTTTTTAGGATTTGCAACTTAAACGGTT